CCGATCTTCTTATCCTCTTATCTCAAAATTAATAACCCTTATCCCTAAGTAACTAAGTTGTAATGGGGATTAAAAATCAAACTAAATGACACAAATTCCCCATCAAACGCTAACTAAGTAATTATTATAATTTATACTATAAATAGCTTTGATATAGAAGAGGAACATGCAATTGAAATTTGGTGAAGGAAGAATATAAAAGCTTACGGAGAGAAAAATAGTGAGAATTAAGGAAGAGAGAAAATAAAAGAGAGAAAGAGAGAAAAAAATACAACTTTTGAAGTATCTCAAAGATATATCATTTTCTTAAGGTAAGGGGGAGGAAACCTTTATCTTTTAAAATTTTATATGCTATTATATTTATTTAGTTATGTTATATTTTGTGTGTATTTATTTAGTGAGGTGTCCCTAACCTCACTTGCTTAATCTATGATATTTTTTTACTTGCAGAGATTGGGGGTCTCATATCCAACATTTGGAGAATGTGCTGTCTTGTTTGAAAGAACATGGCTTGGTAGCAAATAAAAAGAATTGTCATTTTGGCAGGAAGACAATAGAATATTTAGGCCATGTAATTTCGGAGGATGGAGTTGCAATGGACCCGGAAAAGGTGAGAAGTGTTTTGGAGTGGCCCGTTCCAAAAGGGGTAAAAGGTGTTAGGGGTTTCTTGGGATTGACCGGGTATTACAGAAAATTCATTAAAGATTATGGCAAAATTGCTAAACCTCTAACAGATTTAACAAGGAAGGAAGGATTTCATTGGGGGGAACAAGCTCAAACGGCTTTTGAGAGGCTAAAGAAGGCTATGACAGAGGCACCAGTTTTGAGGCTACCAGATTTCACAAAAGAATTTGTGATAGAATGTGATGCTGCAGGAAGAGGGTTGGGTGCTGTTTTGATGCAAGAGGGTCGACCCGTGGCCTATTTTAGTAAATCTCTTTCTGAAGGAAATTTGGCAAAATCGGCTTACCACAAAGAGCTCATGGCACTAGCTTTGTCAATTCAACATTGGAGACCGTATCTTTTAGGGAGACATTTTAAGGTTTTTTCTGATCAAAGGAGTTTGAAACAATTGTTGGGGCAGAGAATTTCTACCCCTGATCAACAATGTTGGCTCACTAAATTGTTGGGCTATGATTTTGAGGTGATTTATAAGCCTGGTCCTCAAAATAAAGCTGCAGATGCTTTGTCTAGGAGTAAGGAAGAAGTGGAATTACAAGTTCTGGTTTCTAAACCAGAATGGTTGGACTCAAGTATGGTGCAAGAAGAAATTCATCATGATTCTTACTTGCAAGGGGTGGTTTCAGATTTGCACAAAGACCCCACATCTAGGCCGGGATTTTCTATAAAACATGATATTCTTTTCTATTATGGCAGGTTGGTCATTTCAGCAAATTCTTCTTGGATTCCAATTCTCTTACATGAGTTTCAAAGCACACCTACGGGTGGTCATTCTGGCTACTATAGACATATAGAAGATTGGCTGAAAATGTTTATTGGTGTGGCATTCTCTCTAAATCAAGAAATTTCCATCGTAATCGACAATTCTATAATAATTACTTTTTATTTACCTTCAACCAATCACGTTAATCCCATTGTAAATATGTATCAACCTAATCTGTAAATATTGTAATATATATGTGAAAAGTAAGTAGTTACGCACGTAGTTATAAATATTTTTAGAATAATATGTAATGTAATTATAAGCTAATTATATGTAAATGAGTTCAAAAAATCTTTCTTTGTTATCATGTATACTATTATTAATAATATACTTGTGTTTTCAATCTATAAATATTATAATATATATAATATTGGGTTTAATATTTACATGACTAGACGTTATAGTTGCAAGTTCTTGAGCATCTCTCACATGTTTGCCATCGAGGTAAATAAGCATACGATTCTTCCCAATCTCCAAAAACGTTAACAATTGCTTTTTGTTTCGCCATCCAAGCCTTTCTATAAGATATTTTAAACCCAGTTTGAGATGTTATTCTCTCTTGGATAAGGCTAATCTTGATTGATGGATCTTGGTTAACCATTCCTACATATTAAATATTAGTAAACACTAACAGAAATTATTATTAATATAAACTATAAACTTTGCAGAACTTACCTTGTATGAATGTTGCAATTAACTCAGAATCTAACTTAGCATGATCTTGGGACAAAGACATGTTCAAACACGTATGACGTCCACCCCACTGAGTCACTGTCCACTTATCAGATCTCTTTGACTCAATGGCTCTCATGTACCATCCACATCCATCATGTGCATTTGGACATCTAACAACCCACTTAGTCTTTTTCGACTCAAC